CCCCCAAGCGCATAACGATTCATATCATTTAGATTACGCCACAGTCACTCTACTAGTAGAGTATGACTAGTAGAGTGACTGTGATTACCCATACCTTCTCTGCGATTTACGCTCCGTAATTTTAAGCGAAGCTTGATCCCACCCACCCACCCCCCAATACATTTTGCTGGGTCCGCCACTGTGTCTGGATTAGTCTGTGAGGGCGCAGTCACGCAGACAACAGAAAAACACCTTTCCTATAAATTACGCATGTTTTTGTGACGTCAAAATCACGTAGATGACGTTTGATTGACGTAAAAATCAAATCACAAATCATTTGTGGTGACTAGAAATCATAACAAATATCGAGAACGGACTTCCTTTCACTTATTTACGACACAGAAGCATATTATCGCTAGAGGGCGCTACTCACAAACCACTTGTTAGATTCGATTCATGTAATTTTTACTTTTAAATTGTTAAATCTTCTATTCATCGTGTTGGTTGAATTTAATCAGCCACAAAATAACTGAATCATAGTGACCAATCTGGCGGGTTTCATTTTCCAACATGTTTTTCTGCATCCCGTCTTTCGCAAAGTTCTCGGATTGAAAGTAGATTTGTCGTCGGAAGGTCTTATTTTACTGTTCAATTGTTTATTCGATAAAACTGTGCTACAGATATTTGATATTTGGATAAAGAAATTTACCTAATTCTAAGATTTACCGATATTTTCAGTCGAAGTTAATTCAATATTTGTCGGTTCGGTCACACATGGAAATGGTATTTTAGTTTTTCTCCCACCGCCAGCCATTCTGCGCACGCTGATCACACTGGATCATTCTCACTCGCTGAACAACGTTCCATTACATGCTTCCATGGCCACGGCAGTTCTATTTTTAGTAAGATTGCGTAGTCGTGACAACAGCTATAGTGTTTATTGTCGGCACTGACGTGACGATACACAGGAAGTCACAACCGTGTCACCAGTTTATCTGTTGGTACAATACAGTTCCAGTTATTTCAAGGTCTTGCGCTTCCACTCAACAATTCCGACTTCTTACAATGGACTTCCGTGGGGTATACAGTGAGATGGCCTATTCAAGTTCAACAACGTACGTCGCAATAATGTTTTCGTAACAACATTGCGTTTCTATGCCGACTTCAATTCAGCCTGGACTATTCACCGTACGAGTGGCGAATGTAAAGACTTTCTCTTTATGTTCAACAAAAAACGTTGTTTCAATGGTTATTGTACACAAAGCCTGTCAAATATTGTTAGTTTTGTCCCTAATGACACCTCTTGCTTTTTCATAAATGGGTGTACGGCTCACATGGCATTGACATGTGCCTCACCTATGCGCCATTTTGTCAGTTAGGAGAGGGGGGGTCAAAATTTGAACTTTAATATAATCCACCCTTGAATAGAATACTAACACACGAAAATTAGTTTTTTTTATCTTAAATCAATCCCGGCTCATCAAATAGACCGTTTGCGGCATTAGTGGCCGAGCACGTAATTGAAATAAATAGAGGTTGTCGTTAAAATATCGTCAAATACACTCAAAATAACCCACCAGGACTTGGCAGACATTTGTCATCAGAAGCAATATTTATATAAAGTTGACGGAATGCGACAAAGTACAATCTAATATATTCGTTGCCATGGCTACCATCTAGTGACACAACTAACAGTACTATGTGCCTGGGGGAAACTGCTGCAGGAATTGGAAACCAATAAAGGATGGCAGTAAACAGAGCATTACGTACTTTGTTAAACAGAACAAATCCGCTCATAGAAAAAATCGACAATTAAACACGAGAATTGTGACCGCTGTTACTGTTTTCGTGTAATGAAGAATTTATCGTCAAAACTTGAAGCGAGAAATCAAATTCCGAGTCAGAAAGACAATCAGAGTAAGAACATCCATCGCCTTCACGCTTTCGCCCTCATCGCACACCGATGTCTATTATTTTAGTTACCATGGTTACTATACACGTATGTGTGTATAGCGCCCTTGAAGTACAGGTTCAAAAAAAAAATCTGACAGCTTCGATTTTTCGGAAGCTTAAATCGAACCCAGTAAATATTAGTAACGTCGTCGTAAGTTGTAGACACGGGCGCCATCCCTTCGAAGTCATATCAGTCATATTCACCGACTGAAGAGCAATTACGTTACGGTCACGGGTGGACAGGAAATTCGTAGCACTTTAATGGATGACGTCAAACATTTGTAGCGTAGTAGTATCAATTCACCGGTTAGAACCGTTCTGTGGCGATTACGTGCTGTACAATCACAGAATTGAATGTTGGGGTATTTAAATTATTTGGAACGAGCGACGAATTAGCGGTTTCTGTTAGGTAAAACCCCCGACGAAGGCCTCACGCGGTCAATTCTAGAAAATTAAGAATTTCCATTATCATTGCCATTTACAATGCATTTCGTGCAAGTAATTGAATGAACGTAGTAATTCTTTGTCGATAAAAAAATAACGATTTCCTGCCAATGGTGAGAATTCCATGGACGATGTTGCCTGGCGAAATCTGTCATGTTAACAGCGGTGCATGGGTTATGATAACCAGTAATGAATCACGTATAGTTTATGATGTGGAAGCATAGCTTATGATAACCAGAGATAGCAAATATAATCAAAGATGGGCAGTATGACCGTGGTAAGCCACTGTTGGTAGTCATGTTTCATTCTATTTTCCCGACAAAATGCAACCAAAGTGTACAGTAGTACCCGTGGCCTGTGTATACAAGTAGGATTGTCCCTTAACAGTATCGATCCCGACGGACTACTTTATATCAATCGGTGTTATTCGCTTCTTTCATTCCGAATTCAACAATGCCAATTGTAACACTGAACTTGAAAATGGATATATTCCGTCGCCACCCAATGTTTCAGTTACCTCTCATGGCGATTTTATCGTCTCATATCACAACTAACATTTCGTAACATCTTAACCAGTTACATCATCATCTGTGTCTTAAAATGGAAGTGAATCATAGGCCGGGGTCGTGTCAGAGCATTGCCATGGAGCTTTGCCTTGACCCTGTTTACCGCACCCTTATATATAGTGTGTTAAATGACAATGCACACTAATGTGGTTGGAAAATACATAGTTACAAAAGTCGACTAAGGTACCTATTGTTTTGTTATGTCACAAATTTTAAAATCAGCGAAATTATGACTTGTTTTCTGTAATTCACCATGTACGCGTTAACCTTCATCTGACGTCACTAATTGTGATTGAAACACGAGAGATGCCGAGCAGTCGCACTTTATCTGTGAACGTGCGATTTTTCTAGCAATTAAAATAAGCATATACACTTTGAATGACAATTCGTCGCTATCTCACTATTCCTTAATTAAGTGTCACATCTCGACAAATTACGGTCAATTCAAATCACCGAGATTAGACTAAGAACAATCTAGAATACTAGTATGTCAATTAAAAAAAAACAAAAATACATTTTGTTGATTTCCAAATACACAAAACATTAAAACAACAATCATGAACGAAATCTTCTGAAAGAAACTGATTTTCTGTTCTTACCGTTAATACGAGAGGTGCTTCGTCCACCTGTATTGGAAATCAAATGAAGGTTGATGAAAAAATACGCTGTTTTGAAATCTGCGTCTCATCGCTGGCATGACAACGGCACTTTCTAATATTCACGATAGGGGGAGCAGGCACCCGATAAGGGGATCTGGGGACGAAACGTTCTCGTTCAGAGTTATACTAGTACTAGTAATCAGAATTCGAGTATTTTTATACACAATTATGAAAATAGCGATTTTTGGTGAATTATTATAAATAAGCAGTTTAGTGTGCAATTTATTCTGGGTTTACGCATTCATTGCAACGCCGTCCCACATTTTTAATGGAAGATTCGAAAGGTCATACGATATAAGAGTATCATATAAGGTGATGTCCAGTAAAGACTGTCATGTCTATAAGAATACATGAAAGGTCTTTATTGTTTAGTGGAGCTGGTTGCTTCGTGTTACTACTTTGGTTTAAAGGGCGGCAGTCGTCGCGCCGCGTCCTGATCGATATGACTCATAGCCACGTATACAACGCGTGTAAAATACATTGTTTATTTACATGAAATTCGAATAAATAAAAGGTTAAATTGTTGTTACTGTAATTTACTTTATTTTAGCTGGAATTAATTTTCGCTGAAAAGACTTTTTAGGTTTTTTTGCATGGAATTTATTTTCACTGATTTTTGACCAGTTGAATTTAAAATATAGAAAAAATGGTATATTCGCTGGGTTTTATTTTCACTGAATCATTTCTCCGGCGAAAAAATACTAGTAATTCCACAAGCGAAAATAAAGTATTTTACAGTATACAGTTACTCAAAAGTGTGTTCACCTCGAATCGATCGGTTTTGTATTCGTCTTATCATTCAATAGTATATAACGTATTAAAAGACGATTTTGTAATAAGTGTTTAAAGCCCCACTCGTCGAGCCGAGTTGTCTTCGATATGGCGTATGGCGTTCGACAACGCGTGTAAAATACATTGTTTCCATGACATTCGAACGGACGCGGTATCCTCGGGGGAGAAGCAACGTCACAAGACGTTCCACGATGCTAAGACGCGCACCACTGTACACGTATTTCTACGGGCCCTGTGCGCGCTGCTGTGGAACGCCGGTCGAGCCGGTGAAAATTCGAGAAAACAACACAAACTCAACTTTGAAGTAATCCTGACCAACCAAATTTATTTACGTTACACACACAAGGCTAATATTGTTACACTGTTCAGGGGAGTCTCAACAACCATCTCAAAGTACCGTTTGCTCACAGGGAGCCCAGGAACTATAATCAACTGTAATAAGCAGTTTCTATGAGCGGG